TCAAATTTTACATTTTGGTCCAATCCATTTGATCCACTAATCCATTGGATCCAATCCATTTGATCCATGCATCCACCAATCCAATCCACGAATCCGATCCAATTGCCACCTCTATGTGCACGTATCTTTTTTCTTTCTTTCCGATGACTCACGTTTCAGCACCTGCATGCAACTTTGTTAAATTATTAAAATTGATTTGAAAGATGCTAGATTAATTTGCTCTTAATACAACACCTGCAACTAAGCCATCGTTTTATTAAAAAAAAAATGAAAGTTAAGCATATTTTTTGTATTAATTTGCTCTTAATACAGCACCAACCTCTCTTCTTTAGGAAGTCATGAGTGAGTATCTTTAGTATGATTGACGGCCATTAGATCCGATCATCAACAACGAAAGTTAAGTCTTCGTCAAATATGTATATTCTCCATTGAACGACAGATGTGTGTTGTGCTCGTAGCTCAACAGTCCTTAGCTTGACACGAAATCAATGTGTATGTGTAGCAAAAGATCGTAATTAATGTATTTAAAGGAGGCCTGAACTAGTTATCAACTACAATTGTATATGTATTCCCACATATATCTATGCATACATATATATACCATGCTTAAAAGGAAACCCCTGTTGTCTGAGTAGTGGAGATCAGAGAGTAAGAATCATCAGTAACCAGCTTTGTCCATAGACCAGATTAGAATTTTTATTAATTCTAAGCTGCGTATTGAACAGAAATCTGGATCAAATTCAAGAAATCGGCCTAAATTCCAATATTCCCCAATTCATACGAATGCAGAAAATTGCTTATTACAAGGTTGCAAATATGCAATGGGTATAGATACATTAATACAATTTGGTTTTGCAATTGCAAAACTCCATACCATATCATTTTCCAATTGTATGCTCTTAATTATAACCAATATGCCATTAGCGAGGTTTCTCATAAACATCTCACATCTTGACTCGAACATGGCAACGAGGCTCCATTGCCAATTGACGTATTAGGTATTTTGATGCAAATGCTATAATTCATATGGGCGTTAGACCCAAATAGACCCAATTGTATCATTATTTCTTCTGGGCTGAATTGAGTTTAGATTGAGTATGATTGGGTTGGTAGACCCAGATGAATCTATTTGGGCCTAGATATTCTACACCCAACTGCCAATATCTAAGCCCAACCAAAGAGCAAATAACCAACAACCTACACAACGCCTTCCTACCGCTCGGCTCAATTCTCGTCCTCCTGCTGCTCCTCGACCTCAACCCATACGGCGGTGGGATCCCACTTCACCGTGAAAGCGCTTGTCGCCGGTCGTGAACCATGACGTTAAAAGCCTTTACTGAAACTCTAATCACTCATGGCCGCTGTCTATACCACCCCTTGACCCACGTACGTTATCGGAGATTCATCTATCAATATATAATTTAGAATAATGATAATTTTCACCGAAATACACTATCAAGAAAAAACTTAATAAAAATAATGTAAATACAAATTTGAACAGCTACTAATATGAGTCGGACCATGTCTCCCACCACCCCGCTTGACAGAAATATACACGGTAAGCTTACAAGAACGACCTTCAAACCAACCTCTGGCCGCTGCGACGCTCGGCCACTACCTCTCTAGTTAATCTATATAAACAGAAATCCAGATTACTGTTCACTAACAAATTTATTTGATTAGGCTTAAGGCTTAAGCCCATGAACAGTAAAAACGTTTCTCACCAATCTCCAACCAGCACAAAATTCGGTTAGTAATTGCGCTGATATTTTGGATATAAAGCTAATTTGGGTTGGGTAAATAATTCAAGGAACCCAAACTTAATTGATTCGGTTCGGTACGCATATAACCAGAACTGTTTAGTCAATTCTCGGTTAATCGATAAATACTTTGTGCTTAGCGATAACAACACCATTTACATTAGTTGGTAAACTGTAACTATATAGTTGGTTATAGGTTATTTTGTCGGTTAACCGGATAACCGTTAAGCAAGTGATTCGCCTCATTGAGACCTATTATTTTCGAATCTAATCATAAGGATGGTCGTAATTGATTAGTCAGTTAACCATCGGCAGTGGCGGAGCCAGAAAATTGGCCAAGGGTGTCAAGAACCAGTTGATCTCAATTAACTGAGTTGTTGGGAGAGGTTCAACCGTAGATTATATACCACACACTAATATGCCTCTCAAACGAAAACCACTCACAAGTACTTGAAGTTTGCACATATCCGAATACCATGTGCTTAACAAATGGGGGTCACCGGGAATCGAACACAAGACCTCTCGGTCACAGAAGGCTCTGATACCATGTCAAGAACCAGTTGATCCCAATACCTCGAGTTGTTGGGAGAGGTTCAATTGTAGATCATATACCACACACTAATAAAGGGGGTGTCTTTATCATATCATAAAAAATCACATATATAATAGAAAAGTCAACTTTAAATGAAACAAAAAAAAAATCAACAACGCAATACTCTAAATTAATACAATTACATAAAAATAGTTTATCGTACATCGGTTACAACGCCAAACAAATAAATTTCAGTATATACAAGTCAAGAATTACATTCATTAAATAATATGCATGATCGAATATGCATATTATTTGCTAAATCGACATAACAATATAAACCAGTTTGACAGACTTGATAGGAGGTCTTCAGTCCTCGCCGTTGATTGAGGAAGGAGACAGATAGCGAAGTCTAGCTAGCTATAACCACCCATAGCCATATGCATGGCCAAGAAGGCAAGAAGCTTGATCAGGAGCAGAAGGTACACAAATTATTGGGGAATGGGGGCTCTACCTTTTATGTACAAACAAATTTGGCACTTGACAGATGAAAAGATTTGACCGTCACAAGTAGTCCGTCTTTTGAAAATTATGTACAAAAAATGGAATCATACTTTTCCCTCAAGTCTTGATCTCATTTTGCTTCCCCTGACTCTCTTTCATTTACCAGACTCACATAGTTGGTGAATGGCTATGGAATCTGGATGCAATTATATATGTCGTGAGTGGTCACATTAAATATGTTATATAAGTTCAAACCCGTATTCTCATACTTAATTAATAATTACTATCTTAATCACTTCTTTGATTGTTGCTTTTTTTTTCCCCAAGTTTAAATCCATATTCCCTACCTCTAGCTGAATTGTCCTGAACTTATTTGTTATCGATATAAGAGGCGAACCCATTTAGTGGGAACTCGAGAGGTGTGTTGGCTGACACACCACTATCCAAATTTTTTTTTAGAAATTTAAATTATTTCAAACTATAAAGAAATTATCAATATAGTGTTAATAAAACAAATACATATGTGAGTTATTTTAACTAATTTTTAACTAACGGTCACTATTTAGATAATTTTATTTTAAGTGGGTTGCAGATGTAAGGGTTGACTGGGAAAGAAATAGTCAGCGCAGGCTAACTAACTACCCTACTAATGGGCAAGACATTTGGCAGATGAGAAGATTTGACCTTTACTAGTAGTAGTCTTTTTGTTTTCTGCCTTGATTAATTTGATGTCAAAACATAACCTCTGGTTTCTTCTTTATAGTTTGTTGCTCACTTGGATAGGCCTGTCGGTTCGGGTCGGGTAACCGAACCCGAAACCCACGAAAAACCAAAAACCCGAACCCGCGTCACACAACCCGAAATCGAACCCGAAACTATACTTTGTGGGTTTCGGGTACTGGAACCCGAAAATTATGCTGACGGTTTTGGTTCGGTTCGGATGAAACCGAACCGTTTTGGGTTTTTTTTTGTACTTTTCTGATTGGAGAATAGTCAGATTTGGATCTTGTTGTATGCTCGTTAGCTTCAGAGTTCGCCATCCATGGCGGTCTATCATCTCAAATAGCCAACAAATGGGGGCTTAACACTTAAGCAAGTGAAAATGAAGTAACCATGAAAAATGAATGCAGTAACAAGAAATTGGGCGTAAACAAAATGTTTCAATCCATAAGAGCTTCAATCACTACAATCCTTACCCATCCAGAACAAGAAATTGGGCGGAAACAAGAAATTGGTCATCCTACCACTGTGATAACAAAGATGAGTAGAGAAGAAAGGAGATGCCCCTTTTTGAAACTGAATTCCCAATTACACTCTGCTTCCAGAACAATAGGCAGGGGAAACGAAAACAGAGCACTGGACACAGATTCGAAATCGACAGACCGGCAGCAGAAAGTAAAGCTACCCACCAACCACAATCATGTATAAAGAGGGAAAATTGACCCTTCCTTGGTCTCTCTCTGCTTCAGAGGCCCGAATCAGTTCGTCTCCAACGCTTTCAGCTGTACCGGGATCATCACTGCCGCCGATTGGGTCCAGAAGGTCGGAACCTTCACTGCGGTGGTCGCCGCTTGCAGAGGCGATCTCTCCGATTACATCCCCTGCAGCGCTTGCTTCAATGCCGACGTAAGTTTGGCTTACCAGCTCAACGAACATCATGCCCAATTCCAGTTGCCAAGCCTTTCCACTTCACTTGCCTGTACGCTATTGGTAAGGTCAGCGAGCGTGGTCCTTTGGATGCCAATACGAACTGATTCGGGCCTCTGAAGCCTTTCCACTTCAGATGCCTCTCGGGTTTTTCGGTTTCCCTCTCGGGTTTCGGGTTTATAAAACCGAAACCGACATGTACATTGACTCGGGTTGAAACCGAAAAACCGAACCCGCATACACTTGTTGGCGGTTCGGGTTCGGGTTAAACCGAAAACCCGAAACCATTTTGACAGCCCTACACTTGGAAAAGAAAAATGGAATCTTATACTTTTCCGTCATCACATCTCCTCCAGATGCCTTTCTCGCAAGTGTACTCAGACAAAAAGAATAATGACAAACAAAAATATTGAATGGCATAGATGGATTCAATTAGGATAACATTATAGTAGATATATATAATATATATATATTATATAGTACGTAGGATCGTCTTTCATAACTAATAAGAAAAACAAAATCAGCCCCCGCTCGCGCAACCAACCCTGCCGGGGAAAATGGAGCTCCTCCACCTCCTCAAATATTGCTTACTTTGCCTCGTCCTCACCGTCACCATCCTCCGCTTCCTGCTGCCAACAAAACCTCAGGCGGCAGCGGGCAAACTCCCTCCGGGCCCCACCCGGCTCCCAATCATCGGCAACATCCACAATCTAGGCGCCAAGCCTCATAGATCATTGGCCGATCTTGCCAAGAAACACGGGCCGTTGATGAGCATCAAGCTGGGCAGAATCACCACCATCGTCGCCTCTTCCCCAGCCGTGGCCAGGGAGATCCTCCAAAAGCACGACAGAATCCTCTCCAACCGCCACACCGTCCTCTCCATGAAAGTCCTCGACCTCCACAAATTCTCCATGCCCTTGCTCCCCGCGGAAGCCAGGTGGAGGAACCTCAGGAAAGTGTGCAACTCCTATCTCTTCACCCCCCAGAAGCTCGACTCGTATCAGGAGCTCCGTAGGGAGAGGGTACTCGAGCTGTTGGAAGATGTCCGACAGGTCGCCTCCCAGAGACCGGGGGAGGCGGTTGACATCCGGAGGGCGGCGTTCAGGGCGACTCTGAACTCTCTTTCGTCGAGTATTCTTTCGTTGAATCTGGGGGACGTGGAGAGGTCGGAGACCGCCAGGGAGTTTCAGGAGCACGTGAGTGGGATCATGGAGGAGGTAGGGAAGCCCAATTTAGGGGACTATTTCCCCGTCATGGGGAGGATGGATTTGCAAGGGATACAGAAGCGGATGAAGGGACATTTGGAGAATGTTCTCAACTTGTTTCAATGGGTCATCGACGAAAGGGTGAGGAAGATCAAGTCCGATGAGCTCTATGTCTCGCCAAACGACATGCTCGACACGCTTCTGGCCATCGGAGACGACGGCGAGGGGGCTGCCGCCATGGATCCACTTTGCATCAAGCACTTGTTGTGGGTAAGTCGGTTAAAACAGCAGGAAATTGAACTTTTTTTTTTTTAAATTACTAACAATGAAATCCAGTCTACCAACGAATGGTCAATGATTGATCACTATATTTTTGTTTGCTTCCTCCATTCATTGATCGTGGGTTTTTGGCCTATATCAGGATATGTTCGTCGCCGGTACTCATACAACTTCAAGCTCACTAGAATGGGCAATGGCTGAGCTTCTTCGCCATCCCAACAAACTCGCCAAAGTCAAAGAAGAATTAGATAAAAACGTTGGAAAAGGTAACCATCTCCATGAATCCGACATTTCTCAATTACCATATCTACAAGCTACAGTGAAAGAGACTTTAAGGCTACGTCCAGTATCTCCCCTCCTGGTTCCCCGCAAAGCAAATGAAGATGTGGAAATCTGTGGTTTCATCGTGCCGAAAGGTGCACAAATTCTAGTCAACATATGGTCTATAGGTCGCGATCCCGTGGTGTGGGAAAATCCAGACTCGTTCATGCCAGAAAGATTCTTGGGTTCGATGATCGATGTTAGGGGGAAAGATTTTGAGCTGCTCCCATTTGGCGGCGGCAGAAGAATATGTCCTGGAATGTCGTTAGGATTGAGGATGTTGCATATGATGCTGGGTTCACTGGTTCATTGGTTTGAATGGAAGCTACCAGATGGGGTCGTGCCAGAAAAGCTCGATATGGAAGAGCAGCTTGGAATGGCTTTGCATAAATTCAAACCGTTGCTTGCTATCCCGAGAGAAGATGGCAAAATATCTTATAAAAAGGATTAGCGTTATGTAGTTGAAAACAATCGTTGTGATGATCATGCCAATATCTCTTCCGAGCATGATAACGAAGTCATAAACTTCAATGGATCAGGAAAAGCCTTGAAAACACTCTTCCTCTTCATGCATCTCTTTGCCCACTCCTTTCTTGTTCCCGTCATGTATCCTAAGAAGCTAAGGTTGACCTTTGTTGCAGGTTCGAGCATCATATAAATATTTTTGTGGGAGAAGTTATATATACTAGCTACGTACTGTACTTTCTTTTGTTATATATACCGGACCATGGTTTTGCATGCATGCAATTGCAGGGCTATATGAATGAATGATTATGACGAATCTTTCCGTTTATTAGAGATGTCAGACCGTTTGATCAGATCGATTTAGGAATTGCGATGGGATAGTGTATCTCGATACTCGTACTTGTTTTATTACAGGTTGGATAATTTGTCACGAGACGTAAATCGGGGCAGATTAATCCATTTGAGTATGTAATTGAAAGGGAAAGCATGACAAATTTTTTATTTCATCAACAAAATTAAGAAACAAATTTTAGATGATAGTTGTTGGTAAATTATTCTAGAAATTGATATTTTCACCTATTGACAACTTATAAGTTACGAGGTAATAAAAGTATAATTATAAATAATTCAAATAAAATTATATGTAAATTAAGCAAAAATGGGTCAAGAACCAGGACAGGACGAGTAGAGTACTCATACCCTCCTCGCCTCCCAATACAAGTTAAACATGTTAGATAAAACAAGTTAGGTGTAAATTGATATCCCTAGTTTGATTAAGTGACGTATGATGCATAGTTACGTTTAGGGGTGGCTATACGGTCCGGATAAATTGGCTCAAATTGATTCAGTACCGGTCCGGTCTTTTCGGGAATATAAGGACCAAAGATTTGATTAGATACAATCCGGTCTTGATTCGGTCCGGTCCCAATTCGGTCTTGATTTTAGATTGAGCTTGTGGGAATTTGAGTGGCATGAAGCCTCAAATGGTGAGGAGTTGGTTAAGTTTTGAGTGTTGAGCTATCTTATCCGGGCTTTATCCGGTTTTCAATCCGGTCCAAACTGTTTTTTTTACCTCAAATCTAAACCCGAATATGGGATTGAATTGTTTGCTATCCGGTTCCGGTCTGGGTTATACGGTCTGGTTTCGTGTAAAACCAAATACCCCTGACCAAATAGCCAGCCCTAGTTACGTTAGTCACTACACCAATTTTTGAAGAGATTATCATACAGAAATTACCCTTGATATTAATCACCATAATGTAAATAATTTATTTGACTAGTGTATGGTATGTGACGGTAGGGTTGGCTATACGGTTTGGTCCGGTTAAATTGGACCGAATTGATCTGGTCCCGATTCGGTCTTTTCGAGAATATAAGGACCAAAGATTGGATTGGATACAGTCCGGTCTTGAACCGGTCCGGTCCCCATTCGGTCTTGATTTTAGATTGAGCTTGTGGAGATTTGAGTGGCTTGAGGGTGGATTTGAGTGGCCTAAGGTCTTAAAGGGTGAGGAGGTTAAATTTTGGGCGTTGGGCTCTCTTATCCGGTCTTTATCTGGTTTTCGGTCAGGTTCCTGTCAGGTCTCGATCCAGGTTATACGTTCCAGTTTCGGATAAAACCAAAAGATCTGAACCACATAGCCAACCCTATACGACAGTATGTCCAAATCTACACTTTGCAAACTGAATTTTGTTTTAGTGAGCATGTGAGAGAGAATAATATAAATGGGATTTTTTTTCTCACTCTGAAATTGAATAAGAAACCATTTACATCACTAGTTTCACGTGAAAAAAAAAAAACTAAAAGAAAATGAATAAGAAACCATTCACATAAGTTTACTCTGTTGACTTGACATGTCGATCGAGAGCGGTTTAAGAAATAATCTTCTACACTGGTTTATGTCCTCACTCAAGCACAACTCAATTCATCATGAACTTACAAATTTGCATGTTAATAATATGTTGAGATTACCTAAATTTTAACGGACGACCATATGTTTCAAAATCTTTTATACTATGCGGTAAAGTAATTGTGATTTGAGTTACAAATTAATTTTTATACTTATGTGATTGTACAAGTTCGGTTTGTACCATAAAAAGTTTTTTTTTAAATCAAAGCACCAATGCTTTAAAATATTATAATTTTCTCCGGTTTCAAAAGATAATTAATTCCAATAACTCAAATTTTGATAACAAGAATTCTTCTTGGTACACCATATTTTGAATCTGGAGGTAGACATGGATTATATTTATGAATTGGTGGATTGATAAATTTATGAATTGATGAATCCAATTGACATAGGAAAACAAAACCAGTCAATTGGCGATCATAGACGAGCAAGAGAATCAACATTCAACCATTGAACATTCTAATGACTCAACCATCCAATCCCTTTCTTGAAATAATGCCATTGAGATAATTGGGATTGGATCCCAATCTGAGAAGGGAAGATCATTATATTGCACAAATAATTGAGTAAACACAAGCATTATTTGGTAACTGGGTTGCTAGTTGCTACTGGCAGCACACCAAGTTGGACTTGGGACAAGGACGAGGAGACGACAATCCTTGTGTGGAAAATTATTGTTAAAATGATAGTAATGCATGCTAAGCCACAAATCCGATGTTAAGTAGCTTTGTTTCCTTTTTACCTATTAAGACGCAAAATTTATATTTGAAAACCAATAAATTTGGTCACCAAAAGTATTCTTCACTACTATTACAATCACTTTAACTTTAAAGTAACTAAAAAATATTTTTACGAAATTCCCATTAAAACCATCAATTTATGGTAACCATATGCTATAAACGTGACCGTCATACAAACACATAAAATCTCCATTCATATTGGTTACAAACATTATTTCCAAATAATATTGAAGGGTAATCACTTTTACCACCTTTCACCGTCGTCTACCACAAGTTACCACCATATGCAAGGTAAGTATAGGATTGTATATTTGGTCCTGAATTCTCCCCTCCCCCAATAAATTTGTGTGTTTCAATAAAAAAAATGTATTGTGAATAAATGTAAAAGCCCCAACTATGTTTTATGACTATTATCTACCAGAAAAATCAACATATTATAAACGACACGGAAAAACATATGAAACATATCAATATTAGATTTAAAATACAAATGGAGTGTTTAATTCATAAGTTTTTTCCAAAAATAATAATTATTATTCAAAGATAATGAAAATATGTTTGAGAATTTACAAAAAAAAAAAAACAATACGTTTTGCGACAAAAGAATTAATTGCTGAAGGTCTATAGATTTCGTCGCTAAAAATATCTATCATTCGTAGCATACATATATAGGTTTTTAAATGATACAAAATTCATAAACTTGACTCTCTCCCCCTTAGATTGCTTTTGATTTTGGCTATGATTCAAATTCTGCTTCACTACCACTGCTTGCTTAGCTTTCACTTCAAACTTAATTTTTCTTTCATGGAAACAGCAACCATAGACAAATACGACCATTTAATTCACTTGAGCTTCGAGATTGAAGAGGTGGACAAGCTTCACGATGCACTTGAATTCTTTACTAAAGTGGACAAGATAGAAGATCTATATAGAATCAAAGCCGATGTTTGATAGTTGTTGGACAGGGCTCCTTTAGTTGCTACAAGTCCTAGCTAGGTCTGCATTTTAAGAGGTTCAAGACTGATGGACACCAAATATAAACCGTGAACACATAAATGTCGTTAAAATGAATCATGACATGTTCAGGCGGTGAACAACATTTAACACCTTAAGCATATTATTTATTGGTGTTCAATAATTAAGGAAAGCATCCATATATTCATAGCCATGAACATCCAAAATTCAACACCCAATAACTTTTTTTTTTGTTTTTATTTTCAAAGAGGCACATCATCAATGAACAATGAAGCAATATGCGCCTTTAAAAGATAGGGATCTGTGTAGCCATCGCCTTTCTCGTATAACACGTGAGAGCAACGTGCATAATTGAGAATACGTTGTGTGAGAGCTACATGCAGTGGAGTTGGGGTTTGACAGTACTCTTCCGTAGTGTCTTTCCAGGCTCTAGAAATCTCATTCCAAAAGAATTCAACGGCTTCGTCCCGAGATGCTGATAAGTTCTCCTTCACGTAGCATTCCACTGCGGAAGCCACATGCTCTCTCTTTCGTTCCAACTGAGGAAACAAACACAAATCAACACTAGTGAAACTAAGAACCAATTTACAATATTGTTATAACCTTCACATCATGTAAATGTTAATGACCGGTTTTCTCTATGTGATCTCACCGTTAGATGTAATTCGTTATACTTTGACGAATCAAAATCGTCATACTTTGACGAATCAAAATCGTCTATATATATATATATATATATATATATATATATATAATATGGGAGTTCTATGTCATTCTTTTGGGAGATCTATGCAATGCTTTACATCAAATATGGACAGCACAAGTAAATGTTTAGTGGTTACCTCATGAGAGGTGATATCATTTTCGAGCCTACCAATGGCAGCGACACTTCTTATCATCTTAGGTTCATTGGAAAGCCATTCGAAAGCCTCTCTTGTGGCTATTTCTGTTCCCATCCCAAGAAAAGCAGACGCGGAAAGAATGAGTGAACTGCTGGTGATATATGCTTCCTTCTTGTACTCCTCAAGTGTTGGAACGTAGCCTTTGTTGCGCCACAGAGCCTCAGTCAAGTAGGATCGACATATTCTTTTTAGCTATATATCAATCATGCAATTGCGAGGGAGGGAATTAATTAATGAGTATTGAATGCTTCCACATTGATTTCGTCTAAGTTACAAGTTCACTGTCGTACCTCTGCCTTAGCATACTCAACACCGAAAGAGGATCCTAATTTTCCAACTTCCACATTGATTTCGTCGTAAGTGTTAACGATGACACGGTAAATATTCTTCATCGTGTCGGGTAGTGCTTCAATAGCCTCCCCATCAAACCTGAAAGGAAGTATATGCATATATATGTTACACTCAAGAAAGGGAATATATAATTAAGCAGTTAACTGAATTCTAAATGATCATATGTGTGTGTTAAGAGCACTGCACCTTTGAATAGCTTCTGTGAGGATTTGGAGCTCTTCGTACGTAGCGAAGTTATCAAAAGTGTCATCCACGAGTGACAAAGTTAAGAAGACCTTGTTGAGTATCGTCCTTGCCAATCGATACTTGGGCTCGAAGTAGATAGCATTCATACAAAAATAGCACTCCACGACTCTGTCTCTTGCGTACGGAAAGTTGGTCGTCACTTGAAGGCTTTGCCACCAGCTATATATATATTAGAAAAGTAAGTAGAATGGACAAACTTCTTTCTTCAAGAACCGACATGAATAGCACTTACTTTGAGATTTCACGGAGCTCCTGCTGATGAATGTTCTGGACCATATTGAAGTCCAACTTTGCGAGCATGAGGAGCTTTTGGTTGTGTGATGGATCCTCGGAGTAGAAATCGATGTAATACCTAGCGAGTAACCTTGGGATGCACTTCCAAACGGGAAAACGAAGTGCAAAATTGATATGCTTTTGGAACCTAGGGTTGATAGTATGTGGGAGGATTGAGCACTTAAGGGTCTTTGTTGCAAAAGTTAGGGCTTCGTCCAATATGTCTTCTCCATTAAACGCCATGTGTGCTGCCTCGTACAAGCTTAACAACCCTTGGTCATTGGTTGATAACCATTCGTTGAATCTTCCTTCATTGTCCTTCAACTTTGTAAACCAATCTACAAATATCATGCTTATCCACGATTAACTTTTATATATAAGGGAGATATAGATTATCATTAATCAACTTAATCAAATGGTTATAACAGACAAACCGTGTGAGACAGGAAATTCATGTTGTCTGAGGAGTCGAAATCGAAGAGTTGCATGGTAGAGATCAGTACCCTTGTCATCCATATTATTGAACAAGCCATCCCCTTTATCATACACTTTTTCAAGTGCTTCTTCTATCTCCGTTTCAAAATGATACCCAACACCTAACCGTTGGATTGTATCTATCAGTTGCAACTTGTCGGCCATCGCGGCCTCGTCATCTCCACTTTTCGGTTCATAAGTGATCAACATCTTCCTCACTTCTTCCTTTAGAACTTGGTATTTGGGTTGCTTTTGTTTGACCTAAAAAAAACAAGTATGTGATTAGGCAGCCTTATATTAACTGTCGTTAAATGTTTTAGCGGCTATGACCCGTCGCTAAATCACTGTTTTATTCAGTGATCGGTAAGAAGTTAGAACCTATGCGATACTCAAACCCATGTCGGGTTAAAACAGATAAATGACAATAGCCACTAATTAATTAATTAATAATAATTGGTATAAATTAAATTAACCTGGTGGGAGACATAATCAACTTTGTTGCTGAGGAAGCCATCGGCCCAAACTGTGCGAGGGAAGCTTGCTGATGAGACCCGATCCACTGCGCCTGCAACGGTTGCCTGTTTCTTGGTCGCCGGCTCCTTACCAGCTGGCGGAACGACTGGCCGGAGTGAAGAAGATGACGACATAGTAATAATAAGAGCATGCATGGCTAATGGCTAGGCTGGCTGTTGTAGCAGCTTCGATATAATAAGCTGTAGATGCCAATGCTGCAATCTATGTGTTGTGATGGCAAAGGTGGTGATGACTACTCTCGACTATATATAGTAATTGTATTCTGAAGTCTAATATTTTAAGATATTAGCCGAAGTTAAATCGATATAAAATAATCGAAGAGTAGATAAAATATTCTGTCGAGGATATTAAAATAATATTTATATACCATTTTGTAATTTCAACAAGTATTTCACTCTTGGGCGGTGGCGGTCGGAGATGAGAAGAGAAGAGGAAGCAATCGTCTTTTTTGGAAGAAAAGAAGAAAAAAAGAAGATACGGAGAGAGAGAAAGAGAGAAAATTTGATGAAGACTTCTCTCACCGGCTGAAAATTCAGCATGCCCACCAAAAGCAAGGCCAGTGGTCCGTTCTTCCTTGGTTGACTGGTTTAATTTCCTGCTAATTATCTCCTACTCTCCAATAAATTAGCTATTTCATAAATGGACCTCACAATCATATCACTAATTTTAGTAATTATTCAATTCAACTATTTCAAACCATCTACATTCCTACAATAGTTTAGCAATTACAATTGATGGGACCTACTACATATTTTTTTTCTTAACACTACTTTTGCATAATAAATAATAGACTTTTGAAAATCCAATAAAAATAACAAACATAGCATACACCAAATAGAAATAAAGAAAAATTACAAAAAGAAATACAAAAAATGCAAAACGAAATACAAAATGTAGTATGAATGGTGTGTACTTTTAGTGTGATTTCCTTTTAGTTTTATGCATGGATCGCCAATCATTAACTATACATCTTTGTTTTAAGTTTTCATAGTCAATATTGTAAAAATATAATTTATGATTTTTAATTTGTTAACAACTTAAATGAATCGTAAGCACAAGAATTATTAAGTTTAACAATTTATGTGTACAAAGTGCCTGCATGGCCTTCAATCTCACCGTATGAGTATATATTTACTAATTATGGTATGAGCACTATAGTCTAGTCGGATTAGAGAGTTGAAACACCTAGAAAAATTATTGGGGAGTGGGCGCTCTACATTTACTGTTCAAATTTGACAAACTTGGCACTGGACTGATGACAAGATTTTGCCTTAACAAGTAGTCTATCTTTTGTTCTCTAGCTTGATTTGATGTACAACCTTTGGTTTCTTCTTTCTAAGTTGTTGCTACTTACGTACGTAGAAAAAACGGAAGTATACTTTTCCCTCATCACTTGATCTCGTCGCATTCCCCAGACTCTCTTTCATTCTCATACAGTTGGCGAATGGCGAGTCTTCCATTAAGTTTGACAAATCCATGTTTTTTACCGTCAAGTCGATTTATCCCAAATTTATTCATTTTCGATACCTACTCAACTTTAATAATTGTAATTAACATTTGACACACCTTCACCAGACTACAATGAAATTATTAAAATGACGTTCATAAAATATATAAACATGAATAGTTCTCTTAACTTATAATTAACTATAACTATTTATATATTTTTTTTATAATTAGGGTAAATACAATTTAATATCCAAACCTTTCATTTTAAACAATATAATAGCCAAACCTTTTCGAAAACAATTTAATATCCAAATCGTCAACTTCCCGTCCGTTTGAACGTTAGTTGACACTTCATCAAGTTCGAAATACGACACTTCATCAATATCCATCGATATCTTCTCTGAAAAACCACCAACATATCGTTGGTTCCAAAACCGAGAAGTTCATGACTCCACCATGATGGTATAGAATATCTAAATATTAGTCATCTGCGAAGCCAAAACAAGAAAATAAAGCTGTATTGTGACAATTTCCTCTAAACAAAACTTTTTTGAAGTCTCCATTAACGGTACAGAAATTATTGGGCAGTGGGGCTCTATCATTTATGTAAGAATTTGGACAAATTTGGCACTTGACAGATTAAAAGATTTGACCGTCACTACTCACTAGTAGCGTCTTTTGAAAAGTGCGTAGAAAAAAAAAAAGGAATCATACTTTGTCAAGCACGTGCCCTCATACTTCGACCCTCATCCCTACATTTTGGGTTGCCTTCGTCGTCAACAATAGGACAGCTCTGCAACAAAGGGAACTCCAACACTCCGCTCCCGCCGGCGACAGCTACCCAACAAACAAGGCGGCCATATGTGAATGGGTTTGTGTTCATTTGCCAACTGCTGGTGTACGTGTTTTAACGTAGGGCAACGACATCAATTCAAATTTAGTTTTGCTTCAGATTTCTGATAATTGGTGAACCAACCCAACATCAAGTTTGGTGGTTTAGGGAAGTCTGATTGTTCAGCATCAATTTAGTTACGATTGCTTCAATTTTAGCTATTCCATTACATGTATTAATTTTGTACACGTTTTTGTAAAACCGTACCTGAGTGTGCACAAAAAATAATAATAATGATATTTTGTGTTGAAATCGTTCTTCAACCATTTCATATCACTAAAATTGTCAACCGGCTTGGATTTCGATAGACTGTTTTCCTGTCAGACCTTCAATAGTGTACCATTTTTAAAATACTGATTAAATTTAAAAATGTGATAATCAGACCACCAAAAATTTCAGATCATTAATATCGTTACTAATCAAGATTTTCATTTTCAGTTTTAATTTTCAAAAGCATCTAGACCCATAATGATTTAATTGTAAGAACATGTGTGCATTTTCTTTTTAGCTCTGTAAGCTAACAACATCATAGTTCAAATTGAATTTTGGGTAGGCATGTAACAATTAAATTTAGGGGTCGTTTGGAAGTTGGGATTGTTTTGTTGAGATTGTCATTATGCATGTATTGTTTACAATGCATCATTTTTTTTTTGTTTTTTTAGCAGAAATAATACATGGATTGTTTCCGTGATGTGACAGAAACTATCACTCATTTCGAGTGATTGTTATATCTCAACTTTTAGTTGTGATTGTTGAGATAGTTGAGTTGAGATTGTTTTGTCCCAGCTTTTAGCTGATGCGACATACACAATCACACATACCATGCATCAAATTCGACAATACATGTATAATATTATACATGCATTCTCAACAATACATCTATTTAACAATCGCAACTTCCAAACGAGAAATAAATCTTTTGAATAGGGAGGAGTCTGACTCCTCAGCCTATTGTGGAAAGGATCGCAATAATTTTGACTACATTGCTCCCATTATCCCAAATTAGTGAAAAAGATGCATGTATAAATCATAACCAGTTATATTTTCCAATCTAAAGAACCTCTTTCAGTCTTCACGGTTGACTGAGAATGGAGAAAGGTAGCGAAGTCTAAATAACTGACCACTAATGTAATGGCCAAACAATCTTGGCCAGGAGCTCCACCACCTACAGAAATCGGGGGGATATGGGGTTGTTGAGATGAGAAGATTTGACCTTCACTTGGAGAAGCTTGGCCGGCCAATAGTCTTTTCTTCTCTGCCCTAATTTGGTTTCTTGACTTCTATATAATTTATCACTTAATTACTTGGAGAAAAATGGAATCGTCTACTTTTCCGTCTATCACTTCACTTCTCCTGCTGTGTTTCCTCCAAGTGTATCTTTCATTTACTAGTCTTACATAGTTGTTGAGTGGCTATGGAATCTGGATACAACTATATGAAGTGAGTGGTAACATCATATATGTTATATAAATTTCGAAATCTCATTAATATCCTTATTTATGATCTCACTTTTATGATTGTAGTGAATCGATCATTTTATTGTGCTCAAGTTGACAAATCGATGTTTTTTATCGTCTAGCCATTTTTATAATAAATAAATATATCTATTGTCGATGTCAGAAAAGGATTCATGCAATGTCTGAAATTTTTATGAGAAACATAAATTTTGTCAATACAAATTAAATATTCTAATTTGAGACCTCCGATACAATTCCAATGATTGTAAGTGATAGAGCTTCATAATACTACAATGAAATCTTAATATGGTGTGCATAAAATAAATTAATATGTGTTGATCTATTTAAATTTTTAATTTACGATAACTATTTAAACATTTTTATTTTTAATTAAAAACCCTACCCCTATGTTGAACGCACTGGGATTTAAAATTTTAATTCCCTTTCCTCAATTCTTTCAAAATAAGAGAAGCAATTACAGATTTACACTTTCCCGTGTAAATTAAAACACTGTGTGTCCATTTATTCCCCTTCCCCATTTTTTTGGACAAAATAGTCATCAACGAATAGGAACAAATCAATCTCTTCTTTTATTTTCGAAATCGGTTCACATGCAGGAATATATATAGCACTATAGCAGTAGGATAACTAAAACCTGTTCCCTCCCATAAAAGAAAAAAAAAAAAAAACCTGTTCCCGCAAACAAACCGGCCGGTGAAAATGGAGCTCCTCCTCCTCCTCATTTCCTTACTCTGCCTCGTCTTCACCATCACCATCCTCCGCTTCCTGCTCGCACCAAAACCTCTGGCGGCTGGCAAACTCCCTCCGGGCCCCACCCGGCTCCCAATCATCGGCAACATCCACAATCTAGGCGCCAAGCCTCACAGATCGCTGGCTGATCTCGCCAAGAAACACGGGCCGTTGATGAGCATCAAGCTGGGCAGAATCACCACCATCGTCGCCTCTTCCCCAGATGTGGCCAGGGAGATCCTCCAAAAGCACGACAAAGTCCTCTCCCACCGCCACACCGTCCTCGCCATGGAAGTCCTCGACCTCCACAAATTCGCCATGGCCTTTCTCCCCCCGGATTCCAAGTGGAGGAACCTCAGGAAAGTGTGCAACTCCTATCTCTTCACCCCCCAAAAGCTCGACTCGTATCAGGAGCTCCGGAGGGAGAAAGTTCTCGAGCTGTTGGAAGATGTTCGACGAGCTGCCTCCCATAGGCCCGGAGAGGCGGTCGACGTCCGCAGGGCGGTGTTCAGGGCGACTCTGAACTCTCTGTCGTCCACCATTCTCTCGTTGAATCTGGGGGACGTGGAGAGGTCAGAGACCGCCAGGGAGTTTGAGGAGGTTGTGAGCGGGATCATGGAGGAGGCAGGGAAGCCCAATCTGGGAGATTACTTCCCCGTGTTGGCGAGCATGGATTTGCAGGGGATACAGAGGCGGATGAAGGGTCATCTGGAGAATGCTCTCAACCTGTTTCAATGGGTCATCGACGAACGTGTGAGAAAGATCAAGTCCGATGAGCTCTATGTCTCGCCAAACGACATGCTCCACACGCTTCTGGCCATCGGAGATGACGAAAATCGTGAGGGGGCTGCCGCCGTGGATCCACTTTCCATCAAGCACTTGTTGTGGGTGAGTAGGTTTGATTAACCCTAATGGCTGCTTAATTAGATAGAGGATCAATGGTTGATCAATACTCTTTTTTTTCGCTTATTTAATTTCTATATTCGCTAATCTTGATATGGCCTGTCAGGATCTCTTTGTAGCCGGTACGGATACAACTTCAAGCTCACTGGAGTGGGCAATGGCAGAACTCCTGCGTCATCCTGACAAACTCGCCAAAGCAAGGAAAGAACTAGATGAAACCATTGGAAAAGGAAATCATCTCTGTGAATCGGACATCACTCGATTGCCATATTTACAAGCAATAGTGAAAGAGACCTTAAGGCTACGCCCAGTAGCTCCCCTGTTAGTTCCCCGCAAAGCAAGTGAAGATGTGGAAATTTGTGGTTTCATTGTGCCGAAAGGTGCACAAATTTTGGTCAACGTTTGGGCTATTAATCGTGATCCGGTTGCATGGGACGATCCAGACTCATTCATGCCAGAAAGGTTCCTGGACTCGAAGGTCGATGTTAGGGGAAAAGATTTTGAGTTGCTTCCATTTGGTGGCGGAAGAAGGGTATGTCCTGGAATGTCGTTGGGATTAAGGGTGTTCCATATGATGCTGGGTTCATTGATTCATTGGTTTGAATGGAAGCTTCCAAATGGTGTCGTGCCAGAGAATCTAGATATGGAAGAGCAGCTTGGGATGGCTTTGCATAAGTTCAAACCTTTGCTTGCTGTCCCGACTCCCATATAATATCTTATTAAAAGAATTAGCACTATACTTAAAATCTATTGTTGCTGTGATCATGAAAAATTTCTTCCTGGGGATGATAAAGAAGTCATAAACTTCAAATGGATCACGAAAAGAATTATACAGTTTTTATGGGACAAGTATATATACTAGCTACTACGTAATTTCTTTTGTTCCCTACCTTGATTTTTTTATAAAACCTCTTGTTGCTTCATTACTTGGGGAAAAAAAACAGCACTTGGCAGACAAAAAGAGTAGACTACTATATTGTCAGAAAATGACTCTAAAAAATATTAATTGTCGGTCCGTCAAAACTAACGGTTAATCATTATACTTGTCCTTCCGTTAGTGATTCACCGTTCAATCGCTAAAAGGAAAAAAGTGTCAGGTAAGTCAGGTAACCGAACCATTATCAAATCACATAGGGACTTTTCTGGAATGTCTTTTTGCCATTCTTACTTCTTAGCATAAACCTTTATCTCATTTTAAAAAATTTTGTTTGCTATAAAGTGGATACAAACTCAAGACCGATTTAAAAAGAATAACGGTAATTGAGCATTGTTATCATGAAAAAAAAACTAAAAGGAATAAAATTGATGGTTCAAATCTATCATGAACCGTAAATTGAATCCAAATATATCAACTCCGAATTAGAACAAAATTGAATATTTATTAGTGATCACTCAGATCAATTAACGACTAAGCGGTAACAAATTTGTGTAGAAACCTCTACTATGAACCGATTTGACATATCCATCATCATTAGCGGTTAACCCATTAACTAAAAATTAGAATTTAACCCGAGAATCACCAAATTGATTATCAGCCCTACTCTAAAGTGTCTGAGTTCTACTCCTCATATGTTTCATGGTTTCCCCTTGCTCTTTACTGTAATTGTACTAGTTAAGATATCTATAGGAAAACAAAACCAGTCAATTGGCGATCTTAGACGAGCAAGAGAATCAACATTCAACAATTCAACATTCCAATGACTCAACCATCCAATCCCTTTCTTGAAATAATGTGATTCAGATTGGGAATCAAATCAATCCCCAATCTGAAAAAAGGAAAGAAGTGCCTGATCTTGGGCCTGGGGCAGGCATTGGTGCAGGCCAGGCCTCTTAGCTAGGAAGGGCTGCGAATTGGCCAAATTGATGATACAGATTGAACCCTAACATTATTTGGGTTACTGGTTGCTACTGGCAGCACACCAAGTTGGACTTGGAACAAGGATAAGGAGGCGGCATTAATCCTTTTGTGGCACACTTTCTATTACAATTATTGTTTAGATGATGGCCAATAATCAATAATGCATGCTAACTCACAAATCCAATCTTAAGATTTGGCTATAAATGGCCTAGTAAGGCTTTTAACCCATCGACGACTCATCCATATTAATCTCGACATTTTACGTGTATGTAGAAAGCCAACGGATCGAGGAGAATGTCTTCTTCATCACTATCGCTTCAGTCAGCTGTTGATGGTGCTGTACCAACTCGCCAAAAGGAAGTCGGTGCAATAGTAGGTCGAGCCTCAGAAAGCTTCCATCCAACAATTTGGGGCGATTGCTTCAATGGCAAAGTTGACCTCTCGCTCCAGGTAATGCATCCTTGCATGAAATTTAGTAATTTAAAAACAAGTCAATTGCTATGTATTCAAAATTCGCACGTATATAATAAATATATATTTGAAATTCATCTACGGGTCGTTTGGATGCATCATTTTGGTTTTATGGTATTTCGAATCCAAATGATGCATTATTTTGCTATGTGGCATTTCATGTGGTATTTCATTTTGAAATGTGGTAATTGGTGTAATTGTCTTGTTTGGATAAAACATTCAAATATTGTGGTATTTCAACACTTAAAGAAGGGATGAAGTGGAAAAAGAAGTTGGGAGATGAGGTATTTGAAATAACTAGGGGGTGGGTAGGTATTTCAAATAACTCACAATGAGTTATTTCAATTGACTCATGCACAAAATACCACATTCTACTTTATTTTTGCCAAACAAGTTATTTTTATTGAAATACCTCATTCTGAGTTATTTCGATCAAATTAGCTCATCAAAATACTGCATTCAAACGACCCGCTAATGTATTTGGACAAATATTTGACATACTATTTATTTGCATCCAAATAAGTAATTTGGTATTTGAAATTCCAAATCCCAAATATGAAATCGAATTCTTCTACCTAAAACGCACCTGAATATTTCATTAACCTATATATCTTAGTCGAAAGACAACATAATGTGTGGTTGAAGAACCATGTTAATGCGTTCGATAGTTCGAGCTAATTATTAGTAAAAAATTACATTCTTGGCAAGTTAGCAAGAATTACCATGTATCTAATTAACTACCGACTGCCCTTTTCTTTTCTTCTTCTGTTAACTATTTTTGACTTTTTGTAGACTAACAAAATGAGACACCCCAAGTACCAAGCTCTCAAGGAAGAGGTGAGGAAGATGGTGGTGGATGATGCAGTAAGTGGAGATGATGATCAGGAGGCAACAATTGCCAACAAGCTCCAACTGATAGATACGATCCAACGTTTAGGCGTCGGGTATCACTTTGAAATGGAAATTGATGAAGCCCTTGAAAAAGTACATGCTTTTGGAGATGACTTATTTATCAATATCGATGATAACAATACTGCCGATCTCTACTATGCGGCTCTAAAGTGTCGACTGCTCAGACAACAAGGCTTTTCGGTTTCACTAGGTAAGAATACATATTGTTTTGAGTTATAAATTGTTTGATTAATTAATCCATTACTAATTAATTACTATGAACTCTTTCGTATATACGGTAACTATATATGGTTACTTAATCATCGTTTAATTTTGTCATATAATGCACATTCTAGATGGATTTAAGAAGTTGAAGGACAATGAAGGACTATTCAAGGAAGGGTTGGCATCAGATGAGCAAGGACTGGTGAGCTTGTACGAGGCAACGCACATGACGATCAATGGAGAGATCATATTGGATGAAACCCTAACTTTTACGACGACGACCTCAAGTCAATCCTCACAGATAATATCCTCAACCACTCATTCCAAAAGAAAATTGGCTTTGCCCTTCACTTTCCGGTTTGGAAATGCATCCCAAGGTTGCTTACTAGGCATTACATCGAGTGTGTTCAATGCATCCAACTCAAAAACTAGTCTTAAGGTGTCGAATTTTGAATTTTAATTTGTAGAATTAGTGTAATATGATGATATAACATTTGATAACAACTAATTACCGGTCCCTAAGCCCTAGATCTCCAATTTTGAGTTCTATCCCTAAACCCCAAATTGTAAACCCTAACGCTAACCCTAAATCTCTAAACTCTAAATCCTTCAAATTAAAGTAAAATTTTAATAGTTTTTGTGCAAATTATTGTGCGTTATTGTTCATCACATCATAAGTGACGATTTACATCATTTTGACATAAATCGCATGTTTAAAATGACGGTTATGAAGCGAGTGCACTGAATGCACCCAAAAAAGTGAGTGCATGGAAGACGCCACCATATATGTGCATGTGTAAATTTGGGTATTTGTTGGGTAATATTGGGTAAAGTATTTGTATTACTTTCATATTCTAACGGGGAATTATCATACCCAGTTATAATGACTTGAGATATATGGATTATTAGAGTCATTTCAAGCTCTAGAATCTCATTCAGATTATTGAACAAAATCTATGATTGAGATCTATTTAGAATGGGTGGTGGAAAATAGGATATGCAACTAGACTCTTATACAACTTGTTAACCAGGAAATAGGTAGAACATAATAGGGTTCATGGAATTTGGAAAAAACCAAAATTGAGAAAGAACAAGAGGAAGAGGAAGAGATATCTTCGATCTGCTCTGTGGCCTCGTTCCTTTTGTTTTTCAATTTGCGCCCAAGTAGCAGCGAGCCCACAATAATTAAAAGACAAATAAACAAAGAGAAAGGAACTAAAGACTCACTTACTGATCTCTGATACTCGTCTTCTTCCTAGGTGAGAAGACTTCCGAGATGCAGGGGAATTAATCAGAAATAGGGGATGCAAAACAGAACAACACAAAGGAAGAAAAAAAAAAAGATGACCACATGATATTTTTAATGAGGTTCTTAATCTACCTAGGGCTGGCTATTTGGTCCTGGACTGTTTGGTTTTACCCGAAACCGGACCATATAACCCGGACCGGGATCGGACTGGCACCGGATAGCAAACAATGCAATATCATATTTGGGCTTAGATTTGAGGTAAAAAACCGGATAAAAGACCCCCAACACCTAAAATCAAGATAAAATTGGGACCGGACTGTATCCAATCCAATCTTTGGTCCTTATATTTCCGAAAAGACCAGACTGAGACCGGATCAATTTGGTCTAATTTAACCCGACCGGACCGTATAGCCACCCCTAAAGCTACCTGTCAGTCCTTGTCCTAGAATCAGAGTCCAATAATTTATAGGAGACACTATTTTTATTTGATTTTCCTATCAAGAATAAATAAAATAACAAATGCATAATGTGAAGAATGACAACCCGGATCCAAATCCATTCCTGTTAAACCGTTAATCAGACAGACCATCTTCCTCTTGTCTTGATTAACCCACTTTGTACACCAGCCCTATACCGCTCTTTCAAAGATAATCAATTCTTGCGAAGTGCAAAGGATTATATAACCTTCCGAAAATTTGACCATTGCATTTGATCATCTGCCAAGCCAAAGAGGGAAACTCCAAGATGTCTTCCTTCCTTTTGTAGAGCAATTCGGATTCGGTAAGTTGTTTCAACAAGTTGATGCTTTAAGCACACACGTACCTTTGGTTTGATATTTGATAAAATTAAAAGAGAAAAATAATTTCAACAACTGTTATAACCATTCAGGAAAGCTAGGAATCACAACAAACACAAAGAAAGAAGCGAAATCAAGGACTAGAAGCAGTAATAGGAAACATCATATACATTTTAAAAAAAACAAGTAGAAAGCACATTATGGACTATCAACATTGCATTGTTCAAACGTTGTGGTTTCTTCAAAGAGGTACGGGGTGGATAAATAGTGAATTGAGGTGATCCTTCAAAAGGTGAGAATGAGTGATGTAATCATCATCTTTCTCATATACGATATTGGCACAACGTGTCAAGTTGAGAAGACGATTCGTGAGAGTAGATGGCAATTGAGTTGGTTTCTGACAGTACTCTTCGGCAATATCTTTCCATAACTTAGAAATCACCTTCCATAAAAATTCAACTGCTTCAACTTCCGAGACTCCACACTCCTTTGTGTAGCATTCTACAGCTGAAGGCCAATGATTTCTCTTTTGTTCAAACTGCGCCAAAAAACAAACAACCACAATTCTATGAAGTGCAACCTTCATATTAAAAAAATTTAAATAGCTGGTTAATTACCAATTTTTCTAAAATGCTCATAGTATCGTGTGTGTGCACGTGCTAACTAGAGCGCACAACTATTGAATCGATGAATCGGGCACTCCCCAACCATTAAATGGACGTTGTGATTATTTTCTAAATAAAATATCAGCATGCTCATCCAACAAATGTGTAGTGTCTAGTGCACGATATGACGATTGTACGTGCGCATGTTCTCGCGGATGACTTATGAACAATATATTCATGTTGGCTAGTTAATTGTGAAGATTCACGAAATAAATAGAAATAATTACCTTATGAGAGCAAATGTCATTTTGGAGCCTACCGATAAGAGAGGCTGCTTTTACCATTTTAGATCGATTAGCTATCCATTCAAAAGCCTCTCTAGTGGCCGTTTCTGCTCCCATACCAACAAAAGCAGATGCGCAGAGTTTAGGTATACCGCCGGTGACACATGCGTCGATAAAGTACTTTTTCAGTGTCGGAAACTGGCCTTTACTGTAACACTGAGCCTCATCCAACCAGAATTGGGCAAGTTTCTTGAGCTACAACATATGTGGATAACAATATATGTGAGATTTAACTGACGTCTAATTTTGTGTTGTTTCACTTCTATCTCATGATGAAAACAAACCCAATAAATATAGATATACATCGTAACATGCATCATTACCTCTCCCTTTGCGTACTCGACACCAAAGGTGGGTCCTGTTTTCCCAATTTCACTCTCAATTTCGGTATACAGATCACGGATGACACGATATACATTCTTCATCCTGTCAGGCAGTTTATGGAGAGCCCTCACATCCATCCTGTAACAATATGCACATATAGATGTATGTTTTATGTACATAATCAATCATTAAGAAGGAAAAAAGCTCATTATCTAATCAACCATTTTAGTGCATATATATGGGTAGTATAGTGAGAACCTTTCATCAATAGCTTCTACGAGAGCCCGAACCTCTTCAAATGTAGCAAAGTTGTCAATAGTATCGTCCAAAATTGTCACCACTAAAAAGATCTTGGTACCCATAATTCTTCCCACTCCATATTTGGGCTCAAAATAAGCACAATTGAAAACGTAGTAACTCTCCACAAGTCTGTCTCTTGCATATGGGAAGTTGGTCGTCACGTCAATACTCTTCCACCAACTATTAATCCACGTCAATGTTATTATTATATATAGTAACAAAGTCAAACAAAGGAATGGAGATCAAGGTAATTATTAGTATGCATGATACAGTACACTAATGTGCACGTTGAAGTAGTAAACATAACTCACTCAGAGAGTTCTCGGAGCTCCTGCTGATGGAAGCTTTGGACCATGTTGAAGTCCAACTTTGCAAAAGTGAGGAGGTTTTGATTCAGGGTAGAGTCCTCTAAGTAGAAATTATCTATGGAGTGCCTAGCCAATGACCTTGGGGGACATTTCCAAGCGGGAAGACGAAGGGCAAAGTCGATTTGCTTTTGGAATGAAGGGTTGATCTTCTCGTGTGTTGGGAGGCAGATTGACTTAAGACTCTTCATCGCAAAACTTAGTGCTTCGTCCAATATGTCTTCTCCATTGAATGCCATGTGTGCTGCCTCGTACAAGCTCAACAGTCCTTGCACATCCCTCGACAACCATTCCTTGAACCTTCCATCGCTGTTCTTCAACTTTCTAAACCCTTCTACATGAAGGAAGGGTTGATGTGTATGTGTAACAAACGATTATGAGTATCCATGATTGATGTAGTACGAGAGGCCTTACTTAGCCAGACATTGATTGTAACTAACTAACAAAAACTATATAGATATATGCATACGTACCAGGTGAAGCAGGAAACCCTTGTTGTCTGAGGAGTCGAAAACGAAGAGCTTCACGGTAGAGATAAGTGCCTTTCTCGTCAATATTAGCGAACAATCCCTCTCCCATGTCGTGTATTTTTTCAAGTGTTTCTTCGATTTCTATTTCAAAGTGATAACCAACACCTAATCGTTGAACCGCATCGATCAGTCGCAGCTTGTCCGCGATTACTGCCTCATCATCCCCACTTTTTACTTCATTTGTCACCATCTTCCTCACTTCTTCCTTGAGAAGTTTGTATTTTGGGTTCACCTGATCAGAATAAGCAGATTAAAATTTTGCTGGGTCTGAACTTTTATTCATGATAAATTTCACAAGTTATTCAAAGTCAAGATAGAACACCATAGATTTGAAAATTTCATTTCCAATAAGTCGTTTGAAATATACGTACGGTGAAAAAAACATGTACAGACGGCTTCTGTGATACCTCTAGTAAGTTGGGTTGGCGCTATTAGAATTATTAAGCCACATGTACAGACAGCTACTGTTCACGAAAAGGTTTGGCGATTCCCCGTGGTCTGATTCACGTGAGCCCAAGTGTATTTAACTTTGGCAGGCCATGTGTAGCCGTTGATGTGAGTTTTGTTCGTCAGATGACTGAGCTCCACCAAAAATGGAGTTGCACCTGATTAATCGCCCCTTTTAAAAATAACAAATTGATGGGTTTCGATATTCTCCATCCTTTCTCCCACCTCCCAAAGTCGAACGGCTCCTTTTCTCTAGCCTTCTTCCCTTATCTCTCCTCTCTCCTCTCTCCCTCAACTTGCTGCACGGCACCTCGACGAACAACGGCGACGGAAATCCCAGTCTCAATCGTCAATCCCAAGCGCCATGTCTTCTAAATCACTGTCCGACAACTATCACCACTGAACTGTCGCCGATGAACGATGCCTGATTCTCCTCTCTCTTACCTCCATGAATCGGCTGAACGACACGCTGGCGGGAGACAGTGGCGACGACAGATATCAGATCTCCAAATCCACTGAGCGGACGCCGACGAATGAATCGCTCGAATTCCCCTCTCTCACCTCCCTGAACCCGCTGAACGGCACGCCGGCAGGGGACGAGCCCTCCTTCCCGGCATATTTGAAGTCAATTGAAGCTCGGAACCCTCCTTGCCAACATATTTGAAGTCGGAACGGTTCCTCTTCGATTCCATGTCTTCGATTTCGAAGAGAGGTATGTACGCTTAATGAACCGTCTTCAGGAAGAGGAACGCGCCGACTAAGCCGATCCATGCTCTTCTTTACTTTGATTGGTCAGAACGGGGGAAGATGTGTTTTTGCAGAGAATGAAAAATTGCCCAGAATAAGAGATGAAGGGTATTTGCGGAGAATGAAAGAAACTATGTTGGGTTGACCATGAGCTGCGGGGTATCCATTTACGCCCAAAAAATTCTGGTAAGTTTTACCTCTATCTCAAAATAAACTCTGTTCAAGTATGTTCCAGAAATGATTTGGATTCTTTCAAAAAGGATTCTTCTGTGAGCGATTTGCTTTTCTCTTTGTTATTAGAAGGGGTTGAAGGATTGCGGGCGAATGCGCTGAAATGGGGAAAATGTACATAGTTCTTGCATATCAAACTTGATTTCTTTTCGCAACCCCTTAGTTCTTGGAGTTGCAATACAAAGATGCATAAGGGAGTAGGAGTTCATACTTTGTAATGCGTCCTAAAATCCAAAAACACAACCATATAGAATGCTTGAGAGTTCAGTGATTTTGTCAATGCTTGCAGGATTAAACTTCTTAATGCTCCTTCAATAAAAAACAGAACCATATAAAATGCTTGAGAGTTCAGTGATTTTGTCAATACTTGCAGGATTCCCCAAGATGAGTTTGATTAAACTGCTGCAACAGTTAGTTATGGTGTTTTCAGATTATATAAAAGACTAGCTTACTGAAACAGATGAAACAAGTGAGAGTGATGTTGTCAAGTGAAATCTCAAAGTTGGCATCGCTCCTTTAGCAGTTTATTGTTGGATTTAGGATATGTTTGTGTGTAGCTTCCATTTCCATCCTTGGTAATCATTAACTAACCCACTCCATTAATGGTGCCCCGTGAGAGATAATAAATAGAAAAGTAGGATGGAGCAGGGGAGTATGAGTAGAATGCAAATATGGGGAAGGGGTAGAATACCTTGAAGAATCTGTTCAGGAGCCTGATTCCAGTGATATTGTATTTGTTCTTAACTATTGACATCTTCTAAAAACTAGGCTACGGTTTCTTAAATGACTAGGCATCAGTGATTATAAATTTGTTTCCCTCTCAAATTATAGTTGTTGATGTATTCTATTTTGTCCATCCTTCCACTTGCTCTGTGGAAATTGTCTTTTTTTCCGATGAACCTTCAAGCTGTGTCTTTCACTAATTGCACTTTCACTCAATTATCGTGTATTTCATGGAGGAATTATCATGTGACTGACTTTGGGAACCGCCAATGTTATTTGTTGATGTTACATGATGCCTATGTGTAGCTTTTCTCCTAAAGTTGGTACTGTGTTGCAGGAACCACAGCTGAAACACTGAAAATTTTCATCCTTATGCTCACGCCCTTGATCGTATTTTGATACTTTCCTTACGTCATTGTAGGAGGCATTCAATTGTCACTTGACTCCACTTTTACCCGATAGGGTACTACTGGTATTCAGTTGTGGGCTGATGACATGATAGTCTTCAGTTAGGGAGGTAACTGGTGAATCTCAATCGCTCATCCTCTCCCTTCCTCTTACTATATCTTTTGATATCCCATTTGGATTAGGGAAATGCAAACAATTTATATATATTGCTGGAATTTCTTCTTCATCAGATAAATTTCATATGTCCTTCAGGCTTCATGTGTTCGTTATGAATTAGCAACAGGTGCATCTTAACATGGTTTCAAAGCTTAAGACTGATTTATGTTGAGTGATGTAAATGGGGATATGAAATTTGCCAATTGCTTTATTGTGGCCTTCTTGGCATAGTCAGGTTCAAGTTTAATGTAACAGTCCATCAATTTGTTGTGAAATTGATATGCATATTTGTGACAAGTCACTCCAATTGGTGGAATTTCATTAGTGGTAATGTCTGCGTTATGAAACTGCTACAATTTCTTTTGTTCTCAACTTTGATTCATTCCCTGTTTCATCTTTGATTTCAATTCTGCGATGCTACTAACAGTTACATTCTCAATGCTTTCAGGTTATGACTTAACCCACCAGGCACGAGTTTCAAACCCCAGTTATGGTGTCGTCTAAAGGCTTAGTTTTCATTTCGACGCTTTCGGGAGTAACTATGTCGGTGTAGAATGTAGCAAATTCATCAGAACAAGCCGAAATTGCTCACTAGGTAAATGACTTCATGTAGAACGAAACATATAAATATTAGGGGTGTTATTTCTATGCACTGGAACCTTTCTTTTGAATTTCTATGTTTTGTTCTTCGTAGCTTAGCTCTAAAAGTCTCGATGAATATGTGAACCTTGAAAAGAAGTATACAAGGCAGTAATATGTGTTTGATAGAACATAGAAGATGCAACTTCTATACAATGATACTTTGTATTCAGGTTTATCTTACGTCAAGTATACTCTTTGGGCTATTGAAAGGAACATTATGTCATCCTGCTACTAATTGAATGATTCTTTGTTGCCATATACATCCATTGGAACAATGTTTCTTTGGTGCCATATAGTGATGTACTCAATAAAAGGACATCACTCACGATTTTAAAATGAGATTCTTATCCTTTACTAATTAAATGATGGTAAACGGATATTAAGAATTTTTATCTAACACATCCAATTTTATCATAACCTCATTGTTCATTAACTAAATTCTTTTGATTTTACGGTTTATCATAATTTCATTGTTATTTAATTATTAACTAAAACTTCTTTATTAGGAACAATAGTAAATTATTAATTGGAATTCCATTGTTAACTAAAATAATTTATACATCATTAATTTACATTATGCAAACATTTTTAATTATATGTTGCTTTCTAAAATTTGATTTTATTATTAGACCACCCATTTTGAAAGATTTATGCAACAACATTCTATAACAATCATATAAATTACAAATTCATCAAACTTTACTCTCTTTAACATAATTCTATTATTAGAACACACTTTATGAAAGATTTATGTAAAAACATTCTATAATAGATACATAAACAACGCTCAATAACAATTATATAAATTACAAATTCATTGGTAAAATTATGAACAGATTATCATTTTGTATATATCAATTAAACAAAAATACTATGTAAGTCTTCCATAATAATTAAAAACAACCTAAATTTTTTGCAAGGATAGTTATTTATTATGTATCACTTACACAAACATATGACATATGTTATTTGTACTGATTAGTACACTATGTGAAATTTAAGTTTTTTTGGTGAGATACGTGAAATTTCAGTTAGCATCTTATAAAAATAATTATGTGAATTATCTAATTTCAAACAAATTATTAGTTTCTTACCGCGGCAGAGCGCGGGCAAAAACTAGTATATCTAACAACAGCTACTAATTAATAATAAAATCCATATGTATAACTGAATTAATTGAACCTGGTGATGGAGGGAGGGGTGAGGTTTGTGGAGGAAGGCATCGCTCCAGACTGTGCGAGGGAAGCTTACTGATGAGACCCAATCGGCGCTTGCCTTCTTCTTCTTCTGACGATGGGTTGCGGCCGTAGCAGCACCTGACTGAAGAACCGGTAGTGATGAAGAAGAAGACATCATAGTGGTAGTAGTAATATTATGGAAGTGGGGATCATATGTTATAGTTTCGATCGATATATAAGCTAGCTAGCTAGTTGGCTTCTATGACGACTTATGGCTAAGGTGGCGGGCAGTGGCGGCTCAGTAAGCTAGGTTCGAAGCTGAGAATGGCCAATAGCATGACATTTGTCCAAACTACGTTACCATAAAAGTCTCTACTCTATTTTCGGCAATTTGGAAGCTTGTCTTCGCATAAATTAAAAATATCAGAACCTTGATATTTGGCTCCACTGCCAGTTGCATGTCGTCCGTTTATCTGATAGTTGCCACCTGCCGCAGAAAAGAGGGGGGAAGAGACGAATGTAAAAAAGAAAACAGCCGGTAGAGAAGAAATGGTGCTCTTTTCTCTTGCTATTAACAACAAAAAATGTGGTTTGGAAACCCTAGAATCACTTGTTGCATCTACTGCGCGCTTAATTTCTCGATAGTGAAAACCCTACTCGAGCTCTGCTCACCGTGGATTAGTCTCGTCGATTGACGGGGATACCACGTAAATCGTCGTCTCTCTACTTTCTGCATTCATTAGATTTTGCAGAGCTCCTGAACATCGATCGTATTAGAATCCAATACATCAACGTAGAATCAGAAACATGAACAAAATGAAAACCCATGCCATAGAATGTCCTCTAGTAGCTAAAGGGTCCATCCACTTATTCCCCTCTATGAGAATTTAAATGATTAATCGACCGCTTCACTTCTTATCTGGCTCTTGGTATAAACCAAACACGTACAGCACATATATGCATTAAGGTTACATCTGTCTGCCTTTGCATACTCGACACCTAGGGGCTAGGTTTGGTAATAACTTCCCAATTTCACTGTCTATTTCATCATACAAATGAACGATTACATGATATACAAAGAATCGGATAAATATAATGCCCTAAATGGAAATGGATATCCATGGCTTGATTTTCCCAAATTTGGCACATGGTTTAATTTGTGGCAGAACTCGATCAGCGCGCGGGTGCATGTGCATGGCAGCCGACAAAATCAACACTAGTACTGCTGCACGAGGCATGCATCTACTGCGCGCTTAATTTCATCAGAGGGTAGCCCATTTCCCCATTCTCGAATCTCTATGGGGATGCATGGAAATCCTTAATTATACCTGACTGACAAAAAAAATAATTAACAATCGGAAACATGGTTTGGTTCAGTGGGGCTGGGCCGAAAATTTATCTTATAGTAATAGAACTGGCTACGTACATCCAAAGGGAATCCAACTACTAATTGCACTCCATTCTATGTTATATTTGTCTTTATTAATTATTATATATACGCTAGACTTGTCAGCATAGTCATGGGTGTCTCTAAATTTGGCCTAAACATTAGTTTAGTATAAAACAAGATCTTTCTGATAATGACTTGCGTTTCAGCACCTGCCACCTACAACTTGGTTAATATCTTCACTTATTAATATTGATTTGAAAGATGCTAAATTTCAATTCAATTTTAAAAATTGATGATGTCTCTAAATTTGTCCTAAACATTAGTTTAGTATAAAACAAGATCATAAATAGATACGATACGATACGGTCACGGATTTTTTACCATCTTTCTGATGATGACTCGCGTTTCAGCACCTGTCACCTACAACTTGGTTAATATCTTCACTTATTAATATTGATTTGAAAGATGCTAAATTTCAAATCAATTATAAAAATTGATGATGTCTCTAAATTTGTCCTAAACATTAGTTCAGTATAAAACAAGATCATAAAATAGATACGGTCACGGATTTTTTTTCATCTTTCTGATGATTACTCGCGTTTCAGCATCTGCCACCTACAACTTGGTTAATATCTTCACTTATTAAAATTGATTTGCAAGATGATATTTATATAGCCGTGAAGAAGATTTTGTACGGTTGGAAAGACATTGCTAAACAGTATGAAAGACCATCTCCATTGTCACTAATTCTTACCGATCGTTTCTTCAACTTGACACGTTCCGTCAGTGTGTTTTATGACATTGATGATCGCTACGCCAACTACCACCATCTGAAAAGGACCACATCACTTCATTGTTCATTAATCTGGTGCATCTTTGAATTAAGAAAGCATTGGCAGGCATAATGTTTAATCAACACGTACAACCTGTGATTGTGAAGCTTGCTGACAACACTGAGCAGAAAGCATATCTTAATGCATGTGTCCATGACGAACCCAATATCTAGAACAGATCCTCCGTGCGTGTCTACTTAATTACTGCAGTTTCAATTTTTCCCAATTTTGGCCACACATGATTTCTGTCAGGACAGGAAGAACTCCAACGGCAGTTTGACAAAAAATCAACAGTGCATGGGTGTGTTAATCTGTGGTGCAGCATTGACGTACTGCTTACGCCACCAAATCATCTTTCTCATATCTAAAACCCCTATCTACCTTCTTTTATCCATTTCCATTCCCCCAGAAATATTGTCCTTCCCAGAAGAGCAGAGCAGAAGAGGGTTAAATGGGTAGTAGCCCAACAAATTCACTAATTGTTATTGGATAAATATATATATATATATATATGTTTTTAAAACACAATAATAGATTAACTAATTGTTTTTTTTAATATAATGGTGATGGACTTTGTATTAATAGATTAATGGATAGGCACATTAGTTTGTCTTTCTTCTTTATTTCGACTGCCCGGGCCGCTATATATAGTTGACAGTACTCCATGGCCACTTTTCTCATCATAAACCACCCACTTATATATTTGCTTTGCTATATATACATATCATGTTTTCTTCATCACTACCACTTCAGGCAGCTGCTACAACTACCTCCGCCGCTAAGGCGGCAACCCAGAAGAATGCAACCGCCGACGCAGTGGATCGGTTTTCATCAGCAAGCTTCCCCGACACAGTCTGGCGTGATGACTTCCTCGACAAAGTTGGTCTGTCCCTACAGGTTATTTTCCAAATGGCATATTAGAATTCAAAGTTCCTTATCTGTTTTCCTTCTTTTGGTTTTGGATTGTCTGTGAGATTTATATATCATGAACAAAATTCAAAGACGGAAAACATTTTGGTTCTTCATTTTAGACGGAACAAGGACACCGGGAACATGAAGTTCTCAAGGAAGATGTGAGGAATTTGGTGTTAAATGAAACAAAGAGTAGTGGGGATGACGAGGCAATAGTTGCAGACAAGTTGCGGCTGATAGATGCAGTTCAACGATTAGGTGTTGGGTACCACTTTGAAGCAGAAATTGAAGAGGCACTTGGAAAAGTACATGACATGGGAGAGGACTTATTCACTAACTTCGATGGCAGAGGCACTGATCTCTACCATGCAGCTCTTCGCTTCCGACTCCTCAGACAACAAGGATTTCCTGTTTCGCTAGGTATGTATATGTGCACTTGTATTTTATAAAATTGGTTTGTAATTGATAGCTAGTTCATTAATGCCTCTCTTGTATGCATCAATCATATATGATCAATTGTTATGCAGATGGATTTAGAAAGTTGAAGAATAGTGAAGGAAGGTTCAAGGAATGGTTGTCGAGGGACGAACAAGGACTGTTAAGCTTGTACGAGGCAGCACACATAGCATTCGATGGAGAAGATATATTAGATGAAGCCCTAAGTTTTACGACGAAAAACCTTAAGTCAATCCTCCTAACAAACAAGAATATCAGCAATGCATTTCAAAGGCAAATAGACTTTGCCCTTCTTGTTCCTGCTTGGAAATGTGTCCCAAGGTCACTTGCTAGGCACTCCCTCGATTTCTACTCCGATCAGGGTGCTTTGCTGCAGAATCAAAAGCTCCTCACATTTGCAAAGTTGGACTTCAACATGCTCCAAAGCTTCCATAAGCAGGAGCTCCGTGAACTCTCTGAGTAAGTCCTAATTAATTGGGGCTAATCACTTTGTACTATATTACACACTAAATGACTTTCTTGCTTGGTTTTAATTTTAGATGGTGGAAAAGCATTGACGGGGGCGACCAACTTTCCATACGCAAGAGACAGACTCGTGGAGTGTTATTTTTGGATAATTTGCATTTACTTTGAGCCCAAATATAGGGTGGCCAGAGTTCTAAACGCCAAGATCTATATAGTGTTGACAACCTTGAATGACACTTGTGATAACTTTGGTACATATGAAGAAGTCCAGGCCCTAGTGAAGGCTATTCAAAGGTTCTTACCGCATAAAATTATATATATACATATATATAATCATTGATGGTGTGAATGTATATTCATGTGTACATGCATATTTTCTTCAGGTTGGATGCTAGAGCTCTTGATGAACTACCTGAAAGGATGAAGAATATGTATCGACTCACTCTAAATGTGTATGACGAAATTGAAGAGGAAGCTGGAAAGACAGGATCCACGTTTATCGTCGAGTATGCTAAGGAAGAGGTAATAATGATCCATTGATAAGGTTGTGAACCAAAAAGATTAGTTCGTTAATTTTTCTTGTGTTATTCTAACTAATTGATATTGTAGTACAAGAAAATAGCCCGAGCCTACTTGAAAAAGATTGGGTGGTGCACTGAAGGCCAAGTTCCGACAGTGGAGGAGTACTTGATCGAGAGCGGATATGTGACTGGAGGTATGCCCATAGTTTGCGGATCTGCTTTTGTTGGCATGAGAGCAGACATAGTCACAAGGGAGGCTTTTGAATGGGCAAATAATGAATCCAAAATGTTTAGATCTGGCAGTGCCATTTGTAGGATTCAAAATGACATCTTCACATACAAGGTAATTATTTTTGTATATTACCTTACCAAGGACTCACAATCTACGTAAATGAGTGTTGGCGTAGTGCATCTCATATTACAAATTCTTGGTTTTTTTATACAGTTTGAACAAAAGAGGGATCATGCGCCTTCGTCTGTTGAGTGCTGCATGAAGCAGTACGGAATATCAGATAAAGAAGCGGTTGAATTTTTGCTGAATGAACTTTCTAACGCTTGGAAAAATATAGGCCGAGAGTATTGTCAGAAACCGACTCTACTACCAACAGTTTTCAAGGACCGTATCATCAACTACGCACGTTCCATGAATTTGTTTTATGACAACCGCAATGGTGATCGCTACACAAACTCCCATCTTTTGAAGGAACACCTCACCGCACTGTTCGTTGATCCCGTGCCTCTTTGAAGAAGTCGATTAGCCCTTCAATAATGTACGACCTATTGTTCACATGCAATGCTCTTTGTTGGTTGTTTTGTAAGATGTTTTTTGTTGTACCTTGCTTTTTTCTGTCATAGACTTTATGTACGCTATTGCTCTTCTTGCTTTTTTTGTTTCTTTTCTTTCTCAGTTATTAATGTTGTTGAAATCATTTTCATTTTCGTTCTAATCAACAAAAACATATATTGTCAATTTTTCTTCTCTCCGATAAGTTTAATGTAAAAATTTATTATATGGATGGAGCCATGGAGGTGCACCTTACCTTACTGCGTCGAATAAATACAAGTGGTGCTTAAAGCTTCAATCCAATAGCTAAACCTTTACATGAGAACAAAGCTTCGATGTGACTAGGAAGATATTTGACCTAAATGACCAGTTAATATTGTTTTCATCAGATAAGAGCTTATAACTTCTAATTTTAGAAATTATACGATCAAAGTAAATAGTTTAAGTTTATGTTCATACCGATCCTTTGTTAGTAGATACTAAGGATAGCACATGCTTTCTACATTCACTAGTTATGTTCGAAATGACTTTCTTTAATTTTCTTTTTATTTTATTTAAAATGCTCACATAATTTACTCAATTAGATAAATAATATAATTTTAGTAATAGCTAATTATATTTAACTCGTTGTTCTCGTGAGACATGTCATTTGTTTAGAACTTTTATATTTGTGACGATAAAATGGCCACGCCGCCGGAAAAGTGAGCGGGTGCTACCCACCGCGACGGTAGGTAGTGGCGGACTCTATTTTTTATTTATTTTCAATGGTAAATAAAAATTAAATAATCATGTAATTACTATATTTTCCTTCATTAAATTGGATTAAATTGAGCCATTGAATTTTAATGAGGCGGAAGGGCTGGGATTCATTTAATCATGTGACTAAGGGATCCCCTAATCACCTGATCTTAGCCCGACTTTTATCATTTTAGATTGATTAGCTATCCTTTCAAAAGCCTCTCTAGTGGTTATTTCTGCTCCCATACCAACGAAAGCATATGCGTAGAGTTTGGGTATACCGTCGGCGACACATTCGTCGATAAAGTACTTTTTCAGTGTTGGAAACTGGCCTTCACCTGACGCACCGAGCCTCGTCCAACCATAATCGGACAAGTTTCTTGAATGCAATATATAATATATGTGAGAATTTAATTGACGTCTTTTTTTCACTTCACATCTCCGCGTGGTTAGCGCATGGAGGAATTCATAGTATCGCAGAAAAGAGGAAGAGGGCAAACTGGAGAGTCACGTTGGGTGGTGTTGGGTCTAGTATTAACCCGCCTAATACGGGCGCAAGCCCACCACAAAGCGTCTCACCTTGGGCCCAAGTCCATTCTAGGGTCCAGTACGCCGGGAGGCGTCCAGTCCACCCGGGAGGCCTCCAGCCTACCCGGGGGCGTCCACCACCGGGAGGCGTCCATTCACCGGAAGGCGTCCATCGACGGGAGGCGTCCAGTCTACCGGGGGCGTCCATGACAACGGGAGGCGTCCACAGGATGCCTCCAACTCCTATATAAGGAGGCCAGACCCTCCAAGCAAAGGGAGTTCTCTCCCTTCCCTCACTTTCCCACTTATGGTTCTCTCTCTAAACCCTATCTCTCTCTACAATCTCTACACTCTATCATATATCTATTCTAACTTGACCGTCGGAGTGTAGATTACGGGGGCCGCCCCCGACTTTCCACAGGTTTCTTCCACTCCCGAGGAGATCAGACGATGGAGTCCGGATCAAGGTTCCACACTAATCCCCGGTACTAATCCGCGTCAAACAGGTGGGATGGTGCGGCCGAGAGAGGGAGAACGAGACGCATGTAAAACAGAAAGAGACGGTAGAGAAGAATTGGTGCACTCTTCTCTTGGTACTAAGTACTAACTGTTACACAATGCCCCACCAACCCACCCATCTGACGAATTACTGATCCCACCATGCAAGTATTACCGTGATTTAAGTAATTGAGGGAATTATTATTATCATATTCTATGCTGATGCTGATTTGCGAGTTATTGTGACTTGAAATAATTGATTTATCGAAAATAATTGTGGTCGACCAGTTGCACTAACATGTCTATTCCAATGGAACGGTCGATCAAATATTAACATAGGTTTATCGTCTGTCAGAGATTTACAAGCAGAAACGTCGACAATTATATATTACAACAAAGAGGTTGACCATGTCAGAGATTCAACTAAGTGATATATAATTTATAATTGAACCTCTTCTAATAACCTGAGTTAGTGGGAACAATTAATTCATTACACTAAATACCAAAGAGGGTGCTGAATGCTGATATCAGAGCAAATCTAGCATATCTTTCATGGCTGATATCAGAGAGGCGTTGATTGTAGTATATATGAAAGGTGAGTTATCAGAAAACAACTTTAATGATAGTTAATGGAAGTCAGTGCCCTCTCTTATTCAGATTATATATGTCACTAATTGTGTGCTGTGAGGGATACCTCCAGGGTCCAGAGATCCTCTCAGGTTCCTCTTCTCACCCTCCCCTTGATGCCATGGATGATAAAATAATTCATGGCCATGTTGTATATATTGGTATTATATTCAATCGAAGTCGAGTAGATTTTTATTGGAAAAATCCAACTGACATTACTTTTTGGTAAAAGTTTCCCAAATTCAATAATAAGAGTAATTAATTAGGTATAATTTTGATATTTTAAATATTTGCACCAAACCCACTCAACTATTTGCTACGTACATAGATGTTATAGACCAGCTCACTTCACCACATCAGTCATTTATATCCATCAATCACTATGATTGTATCTTAGATCTCAAATCGTGCTCATTCTCCTTCAGTTTTATGAATAATACATCAAGATATTTCAATTAACATTAGCACTTTAAGCAAACATTTGGCATTGTATCAAGATGTTAGGATATGACTTGAATTTGATTTGGGTTTGTTTTGTGTTTGGGCCTATTTTGTTTGGGTTTGGGATTGAGCTTTGTTTGACCTTTTTCTTGTATGTATGGGAAAAAGTGTTTGGGTTTCTGTTTGGGATTAGGAGAAGAGTTCTATAAATACTCTTCATCACCCTAGTCTGTAGTAAGGGTCACTCAGGTTAGTTTGTTTGGTTTGTCCGTTTGGAATTTGGTTTGTAACCTGTACTCTCCTCAAATCAGTGATATTTGTCTCCCCTGCTCGTGGATTAGCTAGCACACATTGTGTTAGTGAACCACGTTAAATTTGTGTTCGTTCGTGTTGGTTTGGATTATCGATTGCACGCTTCTGTTCTGACACAAGAAGTACTTTATTTTTTCTACAAGACTGGAAAATGCATGGCACCACAAATCACATATATTGATCCAGTGAACCCTGAATCGAACCGGCTCAAACAATACTAGATAATTATAACGAACAAGGACTTGGTCTAGTGATAATACCATTAGCCTAGAATCTGGAGGTTAAGGAAGAGGTAATAATGATCAATTGATAAGGTTGTGAACCAAAAAGATTAGTTCGTTAATTTTTCTTGTGTTACTGTATATATTGATATTGTAGCTCAAGAAATTGGCACGCGCCTACTCGAACAAGATTGGGTGGTGCACTGAAGGCCGAATTCCGACAGTGGAGGAGTACATGATCGAGGGCGGATATGTCACCGGTGGTATGCCCATAGTTTACGCATCTGCTTTCGTTGGAATGGGAGCAGACATAGTCACAAGGGAGGCTTTGGAATGGGCAAGTAACGGATCCAAAATGTTGAAATCCGGTTGTGTCATTTGTAGGTTTCAAAATGACATTTTCTCATACGAGGTAATTATTTTTGTATAGTAGCTTACCAAGGGCTCACAAACTACATAAATGAGTGTTGGACTGCATCTCATATTACGTATTTTTGGTTTGTATACAGTTTGAACAAGAGAGGAATCATGCGACTTCGGGCGTTGAGTGCTGCATGAAGCAGTACGGAATATCAAATAAAGAAGCAGTTGAATTTTTGTGGAAGGAAATTTCTAATGCTTGGAAAATTATCATCCAAGAGTACTGTCAGAAACCGACTCTACTTCCAGCAATTTTCACTGACCGTATCCTCAACTATGCACGTTCCATGAATTTGTTTTATGACAACGAAAACGGTGATTGCTACACAAACTCCCGTCGTTTGAAGGAACACCTCACCTCACTATTTATTGATCCAGTGCATCTTTGAAGAAGCCATTAGCCCTTAAATAATGTCCGACCTATTGTTCACATGCAATGCTCTTTGTTGGTTGTTTTGTAAGATGTTTCTTGTTGTACCTTGCTTTTTTCTATCATAGACTTGATGTACGCTATTGTTCTTCTTGCTTATTATTCTTCCCTTTGGCATTTCTTTTCTTTCTCAGTTATTAATTTTGTTGAAATAACTGTCATTTTCTCTTATCAACAAAAAAAAATATTGTCAATTTTTCTTCTCTCTTATAAGTTTAATGTAAGAATTTGTATATGGATGGAGGTGCACCTTACCTTACTGTGTCCAATACATACATACGATAAGTTGTGCTTAAAGCTTCAATCCACTAGCTAAACCTCTATAAAGGAATAAAGCATCGATGCGACTAGGAAGAAATATGATCTAATCAAACAGCTGACATGGTTTTAATCAGAGGAGAGCATATACCTGCAAATTCTAGTAAGTATATGATCTAATAAAATGGTCCAGGTCTATGTTCATAACGATCCTTCATTAGTAGATAATAAGGATAACACATGTTTTCTACATTCACTAGTATTGTTTCAAATGATGTTATTTAATTTTCTTTTTATTTTATTTAAAATGATCACGTAATTCATTCAATTAGACAAAATAGTAGAATTGAGTACTAGCTAATTAGATATTATTAGCTAGGACTTTGCTACAGTGACATAACATGGACTTTTCGGTCGACCTAATATAGGATTAGGTCGACCTAATCTGTTGTTTCACTTTTGTGCAAGGTTGTCAACCCGCGGGTCCA